TACAGATACTAACAATCCAAAACCAACCAAACAAAAATGACCAAAAAATCCCCCCCCCAAAAAAAAACTTCCCACTGAAAAGCCCCAACTGAAAAAGCCAAGAAGAAAATAGAACTGAACTGACCCCTGATATGGAGACATTTCTCTCAGGGAAGATGTTCAGAGAGAAAGATAGTTTAGAGGAAAACAGCATTTGCTGTTTCTGTCAGTGTTTTATCTTTTATTAGAGTCAAAAAGTAATCTTTTAGTTATGAAAGAACATTAGGTCCAGTTAGAAAGTGCATTTGCTTCTGCACATGAATCCTTTTCTGTAGTTCTTCTCAGGAATATCTTTTGTGGTTAATTCAAAATGGTGAGACAATTCACTTTATCTTCTTCCTTTAAGTGTCTCCTGATTAGATGGAATGAAAAGGTACTTAGCCAAACACAGTAGAAATTGTTGAAGAATTCCTAAGCATTGTAACTGCCACTTAAAGTAGATTTTATTAAGGAAACTAAAGAAGTTGTTCATATTTTACTTCAGCAATGAAAAATTTCCATCTATTAGAAATAGCTCTAAATGATTTTGTAAAACTTACTGTTACACCTTGCATCTGAAAACAGATTAAAACCTGAGATAATTATAAAGCTGGACAGACAGCATCAATTAGATGAAGTAAGGAAACATACTCCCTTTATAGCAGGAGTGCAGATTAATTTAAAAGTAGTTTTCAGCATTTCAGAGGGCATGAACCCTGCTTGTGGACTCATGGCCATAAAAAGGTGTTGATCAGTCTTGTCTTTAAAAATGTTTTATGCAGCCACAGACTGCAGAGTTGCCTGTGGATTGGACATAATAATCAGCAGGGGAAGGAGAGCTCATTACTACAAGCTCTCCTTCCCCTGCAGATTACCTCAGCATGGAGCCACGTATCTCAATCAAAAAAGATTGCTGCAGAGAGCTACACAAGATGTTTCTAAATCAGCTAGCTTGGTGTTCAGACTAGAGCTACAACCTTCTTTTAACCTTCAGAAAAGCAGAAAGACCAGGATGGTCTCTGAATATTAGCAACCTGTAAGTTTGGAAATAAATCACTAAGCAGACAAAACTCACCAGCAGACCTGGCCTGTCCCATGCCCAGTTCAAATAAATGGAAAATTCAGCAGCAAGATCTAGTGTAAAAGGGACAAGGCAGGGCACTGCATGTGTTGGGAGTAATGAGGGTTTAGGGATGTCTAGCACATTGTGTAGTACAAAAAAAAAAAAAAATGCACAGATTGTTTCCTTATCTACATATTTAGCTGCTTTAAATAACACAGGAAAATAAGCATAGCCACAGGAAGCAAAGACATTTGCCTATCAGAAAATTTTGGACCCTACTTACAATGGTGTTTAGAAAAACCCTTTAAATGCAATGTAATATTCTGGAGAGAAACAATGTTTGCTCCTTGTCCCCAGCAAGTAAGAAAATCAGGCACTTGTGGCAATTTTAGAGGACGAAAGGTGCCATAAATGCAGAGACTGGAACGCAGCATGAACACCACTGAAATAACGTTCTAAATACACAGACCCACCCGGGCATTACGTACATCCTATTTATTTCTGAGATAAATTATCATAAATAAATTATTCAAAAAGCCCAGTAATTGGCAATGAAAGGGAAGACAAAAGCTCATCTACAATGGAAGCTCGGGAGTTCAGCTCCTGTGTTAATAAGATCCCAGTTGCTACTTTGCATCACATCCTGTCTGCCTGGGTGCCTGGGAATTGCTGACTCTTTATTCCACTGCACACCTGCAAAGCTGTACAGGCCATGTGTGCAGCTTCAGGTGCATCCTCAGCGGAATGTGACTAAACACTCGTCCCTCTACCAAAAATTCATACCTGTATGCTTCAAAAGAGTTAATGTCTCCAAGAATTGGCAGCTCTTTCATTTGGGTATAAGAACAATATGAAGCCGGTTTTCCAGCATGTACTGAAGCTTCACAAACTATAATATTAGACTGAGAGACATTCTAAATTAAGAATTAAGGCAAAGGAGACAAAACATAGATTGCTGGTAGAAGTCCTTAAGATGGAACTGCTACCAAAAGAACAGAGTCACAGCATCACATTTCACATTGTTTGATGTTTAATATGTAATAAAATGCAATGTACGTTCATCTGTCAACACAGTCCAGATTCTTGTGAATGTCAACTATTAAACAGTGACCACTCACTACAAATAATTGTATTGAATTGTATTTCATGGGTTGTTACCACCTAGAATTTCAGTTTTGACCTCCGTATCGTGGAACATCCTCCACCAAATCTGTCCCTGGGTCTGAAATGAACTGCAGCTGATCAACTCCCTCGACCTGATTTTGACCCAAGATATCCCAGCCCCTATTGCTGTGCACTGAGTCCTGTAAAATCAGCTGCTAAGAGGATGTGACAAACAACACAGCAATGCTTGCCTATCTAGATGAGATCAGACCTGACTCCTGAAAAATGATGTACCAGGCATTGTTTGAGCTCCTCAGAAAGCAGTAACACGTTCTGTAATGGGAACTATGCAGTCTTTATTCTATCAAAATTAAACTTGGGGACGTGCTAAGAAGAGCTAATACAGAAACACTGAAATGAAGTATATGTTACAGGAGTATGTACACAAGTTGCAGAATTTCCTGTTACTGAGATTATAAACATGTGAGGTACTGCACCAAGAGCAGATAATTTGGGATTGGTGTTAGCATGTGAAAGCCACAATAACCAAGAAACAATTGGGTGCATCTAAGATGTCAGGACTTAAACTGATCATCCGCTAAGATCAGAATGAATTTTCTTCATCATAGTCAGTGTTGGACACTTCAAATCATTATCTTTTATCCTGAGAAAACCCACTAAAGTCATTTTACCACCATCACACAAAAGGCTGAATGCAAACACAAAGACTGCTAATTTCAGGGCTCTATTTAGGTGCTGCTACAAATTGTTCTTAAGTCTTCTGGTGAGTGTCACAACATGTGGGACAAGGTTTCTACAAAACAAGTAAGCTAGTTTTCTGACAGGAGATTTTAAGCACAATACTTATTCACCTTTGGTAGAAGCAAACAAGTCTTCTGCTATTTACACTTTATTTAGAACTCTCGGACTTGAGATTTTAAGTACCTTGGGGATTTTTCCTTAAATCCAGAAAAAAAAAAAAATTTATTTCTGTGATGAAACATGATACAAAAATCCTGCCGTAAGTTACATGAGCGTAAAACAAAGCTACTTTGTTTCATACAACATGAAAATATTTTGGCCTATATTTCTCCAAAATAAATAACCCTCACATAAACCAGAATTATATAGTGGAAAAATAGCCAAAGCAAATACCAAAACCCCCATGAAAGCTCATTAAGTACTTGCAACTCTAAACAGATTCAACAGGTTCTTCAACTAACCATGAACATCTAGTAAGATGGAAACAGCTTAAAGCCAAAAAACCCATTTAAAATAATACCCCTGTAAAAGCTACAGTGAATTCAAATTCACATCATCTATTAACTTCTCTGCTCACTATGGTGTTATATAATGGACTAGAATTACTCCATTTGGAACATTTTGAACAAGATATTGGAAATATTCAGGGGAAAAAATGGATAATGAAGCACAAAATTTCAGAAAACGGTAATAAGAAAAACTATGTCTCAACAGCTAAAGTCTATCAGCCACAAAACAGAACACAAAACATTCACTGAATGTATACATAAAGTGTACACCAAAACTGGCTCTCATAAAAGCTACGTGAAGGGCTTATCATCAGAAAAGAATCATCTAACCCTGCAGTTACAGAATGCTAAGGTTACAGGTAAAGTTTTACCTATAAATACCTGTTATTCACAAAGTCACAGACCAGGACAAAAAATGTCATTAATCTTACCTTTTGCTGTATGAAGTTCCTCTGCCCTTCTTAAAGGAACAGCCCATCTCTCTCCCAGTGGAATTCCAGCAGATCACTCTTCTCTTTCCATCTCTGAGTTCCTGTTAAAATAATTTTGAGATTTCTCATGACTGAAAAACGTGGTTCAACGGAGGAAAGGACAAAACAAAGGTCATCATCACCCTTCCCTTTTATAAATATTACCATTTTTTCTTTTTTTTTCCTCTCCCAGTTTTCCTTCTTTGTCCTCTTGCCTATCTCTCCTAACTTCCACTGCAAACTCGCTCCTTTTGGTCAATGTTCTCTCCTCCCTGCTTTCTTACTTGCAAATGCTACTGCGCAGCTCCCCAAACACTTCTCACATTTATAGCCCTCAGCTGATATATATGGCTCTCCAGGAAAGATGGCATCACCTGTGATTTCTATTTGGATACAGACACATCTGGGTTTTTTTTTATCTTCTACACCTGCAGAAATTCAAGGAGGACTCAACTCTTTAACTAGCTCCATCTGTAGCCATTTCCAGTATTAGTGTCTGCCTTAATTACATCATTTTATTTGTATACACTGGAGGCTGACTTTGTAAACAAACACGCGTTCACTGACAAAAAATATATATTTGTTGCCCACTGAAACTGAACACATAGAGAATAGCATATCTATTCTAACCCCCTTTATATCCAAATTATCCTTTACTGTAAGGTCTCTGATTTTTACTGTGCTCACTAGGCCTTCACACAGGGCCAGGGTCCGTCACGGGAGCGGCACAGGAAAAACCTGTTGTCAGTAAATAACCGCGTTGCTCAAAATGTTTGTATTGGAAAGGCAAAGCCTCGATGCCCAACACACAACTGAACAGCAACAGCACACAGACGAGATGCTCCTCAAGCAGCAGGGCTGGATGAGAGCGCTTGGGAAGATTCTCTCCCAAACCCACCAGTGGAAGGCTGGAGAAGGAAGCGGGGAGGAAAGCAGCCAGCCCGTGACCCCACCTGGCCCCCTGGACGGTCCAGAGCCCGCAGGGACCGGGAACACAGAGCGGTGCCCCGGGAAGGACCCACAGCACGGCCGGGCCTGGGAACCCGCCCCGCTCCCGCCTCCCGCCCGCCCCGCCCCGCCCGCACCCACCGTCCCGCCGCGGGCCCGGGCAGCGCAGCGGAGGCCGCGGAGCCGCTGCCCCAGGTAAGAGGCGGCCCCGGGGCCTCCATGGTTGTGCTCGGGGGCTGCGGGGCCGGGGCCGGGGCCGTGCTCGGGTTTGGGGGCGCGGGCACAGCGCGGCCCGCCCTGCGGAGCCGCCCCCGGGGAGGCCGCGCAGCTCCGGGGCCGGGAGCTCCTCACGGGCACCGATCGCTTGCAGAGGGGCTCATCCCCGCCTGTCCGTGTGTTTACAGGAAATAGACGGGCTCCGATGCGGGCAGCGCGATGAAATTCGGGTGCCTTTCCTTCCGACAGCCCTACGCGGGGTTGCTCCTAAACCAGATCAAAACAGTGGAGACTCGCTGGCGTCCCTTGCTAGCAGGCTACAAGAACTGCACCATTGCTGTTCATATCGCTGTCAAGGACTGGGAAGACGAATCGTGGAGAGACATTCTTCTGAATAGGCTTGGTATGACACCAAAACAGCTGCAAGATTTGTTGGATGAAGGGGAAAAATTCGGTAGAGGAGTTATTGCAGGTAAGCAACCTAAGGTTTTATTTTCCAAGCAAGCTTTCAGTTTGTTAACATTCAATTACACGAGTGCTTCACGTGGTTGTGCTCATTATGACTTTTTTTTAAAGCACTCTCAAGGAGTGGAGCCTGAATTGTGAAGGGGGGAGGGTTCTTTTTCAGTTCGTGTAGGCTGAGGGCAGCAAGGGAAGTTGTCAGTAAAACTTGTACTATTTCATTGTGTTGGAAATGTGAGGTATCTTTCACCTTTAGGTTGAAGAATTTTAGTCAGGCCTCTGTCTTCTAAAAACACTCACTCTACTTAAAATTTCAGGCTACAACTCGGAAGTCTGTATAAGAAGTAAATGCATTTGTGCTAACTGGTCATGCAGTAAGATAACACAGGTTGCACACTATTTTGTTTCAAGATGATAAATGTCAATTCCACACTTGCATTCTGAGCTGACAAACTCTTGCAGTACTCATGATCAAGTGAAGTCATGACGATTTGCATGTCATTTTAGAGTATTACATAAGTAATTACATAAATCCTATTTCAGTTTCACTGAAACACACAGTATTTGGGCAGTGAAGAAGTTTGTTTCTGTAACACAGGATGGAGTGATGTTTCATTGTGTACATCGTGACATACTGTGACATACAGTGGATATTGCTGCTCTGTACACTTACAAAGTTTTTATCCAGCAGTCATTTTGCACCATTTCTATGTCGGTATATTTGTTAAACCATCTGTCTTTCATTGTCATTTGAGTATTTGTAGCTATTCCGACACAACAAATTACTTCTATCACACTGAAAAATTGTTGTGGTTTTTTGGTGCTGAAAACTGTAGGTCCTACATAATATGCAGATTTGGCATAAGTTGCACACTCAACTGCAGAGTAGGTATCAAAGCTTCTTTGATCTTTATTTAACATTTTTAATCATTAAGCACTATAGAAATTCCCTTTTGTGACATGAAAAGGTTTCCAGACAGCAGGAATTTCCGTATAGTTTAATGATTTTAAAATGTTAATAGAATAGTATCCTGAGAGGGGCAGAGAGAGTTTTATGCTTTAATGAATCTGTTTCAAGGCCAAATGTAGCTCAGGAGTTTTGGTAGCAGCTGTATCTCCTTAGATGCAGACTGCTTTTCAGAGTATCACCAAGTTCTGGTGATTATAAGTGGGTGCTTCTGTTCTCCACCCATTTGGGGTCAGTCACCTGGGCCATCTTCTGCAGCAAAAGGCACAGCCTGGAGGTGTGCACAGCTCTGGCTGTGCCTTTGGTAACAGTGGCTGTTCTGCGTGCCCTCAGGGAGGGTAACTTCTGGAAAACTTCTCTTGGAGATCAAACAGGCAACTAATTCTGTATTTTAATTTTACAATACAGGAGTAATTGACGTTGGAGAGACATCACTGTATCCAGAAAACCTGCCTCCTGAAGAGATTCTGGAGCTGGAAAACAAGGCTGTCCTCGGTAATCTAGAAGAAAAATACTTGACTGTTGTTTCAAATCCTAGATGGCTCCTGGAACCACTTCCTGCCAGAGGGAGAACAGGTGTGTGGCAGGTGGACATCCCTGAAGAACTGATCCCTTCAGAAGTGTAGGTGTTGCCCCTTACTACTGTCTTCCTGCCTAAAAGCAAACTTGTAATTCACAAGTCAGCATCTTGAATACATCAGCATCTTGTTTAGGATTCCCTTCCAAAACTGGTTGAAATGGCAAATACGTTTGAAGAACTGGTCTTTCAAGGCGAAACAAGCCAGATGTGATTTTTATGACTATTAGTGGAAATTATTAATGTGTTTTCTAGATTTTTCTATATAAACAACTAAGTAAATGCCATTTTTTTAAATACATCCTTTTGTATTGTGTGCCAGCTTAAAATGTGAGTAAATAAAACTGTATTATATGATGCTTGCATCTCTGATTATAGGAAAATAGTGCTTAAAAGCAGGCTGCCATCATTACTAGAGCATCTGTCTTACAGTCCACTCCTAAGCCTACTTTAAGGACAGATTGTTTCCACTCCCAGGGAAGTACACAAGATGAACATATGAAGGATCCAGCTCTGTGACCTGACAAATGTTGCAAGGCCATTATGAGAAAGGAGGTGCTTGGTAAAAATGAAGTGAAGCAAGTATTACATTTCTTTCTCTCCTTTATAATGAAAAATACCAGTAATCTTTCAAAACCATACAAACTGATCTACAAACCCAACCACCACTGTCAGCCACTTCAGCATGGAATGAACATGTAGTTTGCACAGAGGACCCAACGTACCTTCCTCGCTGTTCCTCCTGCTGGCAAGTCATTCCTTTGAACAACTCTTCATGAATCACTAACTACACACTTTGCCTTGTCACCCCACTGAAGGGACTCAAACGAATTGCTCTCAACACCATCCCAGTGCTGCTCTGGAAAGCTGAAATATGTGGAGGCATTGCTTTGGCTAGAGCTCTCCTCAGATGGATTCAGATGATCTCTTCAGTGTTGCTCAGATGGTCTGTAGAGACCTTCCTTCTATTGGAGATCCAAAGGCAGTGTCACCAACTGCTCTTCTGTCACATGCTGGATGAAGTCAAGCTTGACTCAACTCCATTGGCCAGAACAGAATCACATGAAGTTTCCGATGAGGAAAGCTCAATCCTAAATTCTTTTCTCTTGGTTTCAGCAAATTTTTCAGCTGAAGCCATTTACCTTAGCAGCCAGATGGCCCTGCAGACAGCCAGCTGAAAGGGAAGTGACCAACTGACTGAGAATCCCAAGGGAAAGTTCTCAGTCATCACTAGGACACCCATGCAGCATCCAGTGTCCCAATGACATGAAACAGCAGCAGCAAATGTTGAATATCGCTTGTTGGTTTTCATTTACAGATTTTTTTTTTTTAACTCAAGCCACAAAGCAAATAAAACTGCAGCAAAATATAAGGTGTGGAATAGGACAGTGCTGGGCTGGGTTTCAGCCAGTAGATGCTCCACAGGCAGGATGAGGGAGCCCTGCAGCATCAAGAATGGAAGCACCACATCCAAGTTTTCCAGGTGTACACTTAACACACATGCAAAAATGTCCCTGCTCTTACTGCCATGCTAACGCTAAAGAAACATAATCCATGGTATTTAAACTACCAAAACCCGGGGTTAGTTAAACACAGAGAGCAGCTGCAAGGATCTGGGAATATCAGACATGTTTTTGTACACTACAGGACTACAGATTTCATAGAGTCTGTTTCTCCAAAGCACCTGTAGGTCCAAGACACTGTCAAAGCAGGTCTTTCTTCAGACAAGAAAATGCTATAGCAACACCAATGAGTTCCTGTCTTGAAAAGTTTAATCATTTACACCAACCAACACAAAGTTGGTCACGAAGACCAAGCTATGGTATTCATACCTAACCAACAGCTGTGAGACCTACAACAAACGTTTCTGGCACAGACTGCACACAATGCAATGGGGAACAGCTTATTAAGCAGCCAGACTAATGGGAGAATGGTGTACACGCTGCTCAGGAAGAATCAAAATGTGAAACTGGAAAAACAGCAAAAGCAACATGTGACTCCCAAGCCAGTGCAAAACTTACATGAAAATTTACATGGCTAATTCAAAAGCAACATGTAAGTTGCCATATATTCTACTTCTCCACCCCCAAAAAAAGCTTTCCATTGTTGCCTAGAAGAGCAACACTCTTGTGCCTCTGTGGTTGAGACAATGATTGTGGCTGAACAGAAAAAAGCAGTAAAGAGGTACTATGCTAAGGCATCCCCAAAGCATTTAAAAGAGACACAAAAATCAAGTGTATATTTAGGACCTAAAAGACACCTGGAATAGCATAGGCATTTCATACAGGGTTTTTAAAAAAATACTTTTAGATAATACTTATACTGTACACAACAAGACTTTTAAACAATATATTACACTGCTAAAAATGTTCATATAAATACTATACAGGCAAGCGTGCAACCAACCCGTTAGGAAGGTTCACAAATTAGACAACCACAATTCTCTGGAAAAGCTCTCAGATTATCTTCGAGATCTCTGATTTGTGTAATCCAAGCCACTGATTCAGCAATACCTACTTTAAAGGAATTGGGACAAGGCATGAGATGAAATACATTTGTCTGCTGATGACCAGTTCAAGTTTAATATGCTACTGTCATCTTAATCTGGCATATCAATGTTTAACTTGGGAGGTGGAATCACATATTTTCCAGGACTCTGTGTAATGACCACTCCAGTCTTTTTTCGAAACATTGGTGCAATTTTTGGTGGTTCAGGCAGTGGTGTTTCTTCTGTCTCCTCATTATCTTCATGATGAAGATCGTAAGAAATATTTCCATATTCTCGTAAGAATGGGAAAATTTCAAGTAGGAACTGGCAAAAGTCTTTGCGAATTCCAAACCACCCTAAAAGAAAAGGGAAAATTATTTCATGTTACTGAAAAACAGAATGAACACATAATTAAGCAGCAGACTGTGCAATCTCATTCAAGTTCTCTTGATTGTTTGCATGTGAATAATATAAAATTTGTTAGTGCTGCTTTTGAGTATTCCTTACCCCTACCACAACATCACAGTTCAGGTTATATACACATATATACATACAGAATATGGGCATGCATTGGCACACACATGCCTGTGTGTATATCCCTCTCTGTAAATTACAGTTATACTGGCACAGCAAGAATCCATTTCATTTCACACGTTACACAGTGTCAGGTCACATCAGTACAGAGAAAGAACACAAAGGACTTTGCATCTCAATCACAGCAAGAAGTGCCACATGGGATGACACTGTAAGCACTCAAAACTTTCTGTAATCATCTGAAAACAACAGTCTAAGAAACACATGTGAATTATTTTATGAGAATATACAAAGAAAAGCCCTTTTTGAAAATAAAAATCTTAATAAAATATATTTAAGCATTGATTTGCAATCTGTTTCAAGGATTTTGAAATACTTACAGTGATTTCCTCCTTTTTGTCCAAACGTTGTTGCCATTAATGTTATCAGTGAAAGCCAGAGAGGAACAAATATGGGTATGAAGGAAAAAGAATTATGCCCATCCAGTCTGTGTACTAGCAAGATCTAAATGGCAAAAAACCAAAACAGTGTCAGTTTAGTTGCAATACTCAATTCCAAGCTGCTTAAAGAATAAGCTGATTTCAGATCTTTAACTTCACACTTCTGTGGGAGAAAATGGTCTCCACAGAAGCACGTAGCTACAGTTCCAATGCAATGCAGATTTCACTCAAAAAAGCTCTACAGAACACATTTGCTGTTAATATTTTATTCCAAAACAAAAAAACCAGCATTCTCATTCCAATAAGTTAAAAACCCCAATATTCATCACTCCTTGAAAAAAAGAATAAGACACATCAAAGTCATTACACTTTTCCAACCTCAAATGTGAGCAGTGGAACTACAATTGTCATCCAGCTGACAGCCATCGTGATGTGTGTCCTCCTCTGCTCAGCGATCACATCCATAGAGCGCAGGAACAGGACAGACCACACGATGTAATAGAGCACTACCAGGCACAGGAAGGACATCAAGATCCACAGTGGAACACAAACAACCTGAGGGAGAGAAAGATTTCATTTGTTTCAGGTGTGGTTGTTTTTTTTTTTTTTAAATAAAGCAAGTATACATATTAAGTCTAAACAAGAAAAAGAAATTTAGGTCTGTAACTAATGTAATCTCTAACAGAAGAGCATCAAATTCAATCATGCTGTTACAAGCCATATCAGCTCTCTGAGCTTTCTAACCCCATGAAGATGAAACAATTTAAAATAAGGTCAATGCAGTTCAACTTCAGTAAGACTTCATGCTTTTACGTGGGCTCAAATTGTATTTGAAATTGACTTGAGCAAGTATTTCCTACAGTGGACACTGTATTTGGAAGGGGTTCGATCCTTTGTCAAATTTTTTGGAAAAGAGAAAGGGCAGATATAACCATGCCAGATTATCAGCTTTATGGTAGTTTACAAAAATCCAGACACAGAAACAGCACTTTTGCATTCTAAAGGCACTTGGGATAGGACATCTCAGCAGTTTACAGTGACCATTTGCACAGTCAATGGTAACACAACAAATAAAACTATTTATTTACCAACACATTCTGTACCTCACCAATCATTTTCAGGGCTAGTTTACTGTTCCCATTGGAAACTTTGGTTAGGATTTGTCTTTCAACTACTGCTCAGAGATCAACTGCAGTTGGTGGCACATTCCTCTCCCTCAGAAGGTGAAATGCCCAAAGAACAACCTCCAATGACCATGACCACTGAATGAAATGCCAGACCTTCAGTGAAGGATTGCTAAGCAAGCAAAAATGTTGTCATGGACTAATCACATATAACTACTCCCAAGAGTAAATATCTTTATGAAATTCAGCATTTAAACAAAGATAAGAAGAAAACACTTGTTACGTACAAGCCATGGCCATTTGATGATCTCATCTAGTCTGAGTGCAATAAAAATGAACTGTAGAATATTGACTGAACACAAGATTTCCAGCTAGAAAAAGAAAAAAAACATTAGTTAACTCTTAGCACGATAAAGCTATTTCCAAGATAACCAAGGAGTCTGTCAAAGGATTTCCCTGACTCCATGTTCATCTCTGCAATATGAAAATTACACTGCATTTACATTTAGCTATAACTAAGCATCCCTGAATTTGTAAGGGTGTGATCCCAACCAAGTAACTGTAGAGTCAGCTGCTTCCAAGGAATGACCTTCCTGGTATTTAACATGTAGGGAGATTAGAGAAATAAGAAAAGCCTAACTAATCAGACTGAAAAAAGCAAAGCATCAGAAAACAACTACTTTCTTCATATAAGAAATAATGCTAGAATTC